CTGTCGAGCACAGTGGTGGTGCTTGGCAGTATAGCTCAGGCAAAGGTGGCACCCAGCAACCTCCATGGGTCCCAGCTGGGCTGGGGAGAAAAGGAGCTGTGGAGCAGATGGGCAACGTGGTGGGGCTGTCCCCAGGTACCCTCCCCCTCCCCTCTTCTCTCCCCCTCCCAGGGCTACCAGATCCCCAAAGGCTGGAGCGTCATGTACAGCATCCGTGACACGCATGAGACAGCTGCCGTCTACCAGAGCCCCCCCGGCGGCTTCGACCCAGACCGCTTCGGTGCTGCCCGGATGGAGGCCGCGGGCCGCTTCCATTACATCCCCTTCGGTGGTGGGGTGCGGAGCTGCATCGGCAAGGAGCTGGCGCAGACCATCCTCAAGCTGCTAGCCATCGAGCTGGTCAGCACGGCCCGCTGGGAGCTGGCTACCCCCGGCTACCCTGCCATGCAGACCGTGCCCATTGTGCACCCAGTCGACGACGGGCTGCAGCTCTACTTCCACCCCTTGCAGCCCAGCTGTGGCAGCGAGGCCTGAGCCAGGGGTCCGCTGCACCCCTCAGCCCTGGCATCAATGCCCCTCCACGGCTGCCAGGGGCAGGTCTCTGCTGTCCCAGGCTGGCTATGGCACTGGGTCACTGCAGAGCAAAACCCAAAGGTCTTTTTATTTTTCCCCTCCTGGTGCAAGTCGATAGGGAGGGTCCTGCAGAGTCCTGCTCCTGAGCACCGGGGTGAGCCTCAGCCCCAGCCCAGGGGCAAAACCTGCTGAAGCTGCTGGCAGGGAGCATCCCCCATGGGGGCTCAGCCAGCCCCTGCCCCACGCAGGTCTCCAGCCACTGAGGATGGGGAGCAAAACTCCCAGCCCCACAGCTAAGGCTCCCAGAGCTTTTCTGTCCCAGGGTTATCTCCTGTGGGTGTGTTACAGGAGAGGCAGGACGAACATCCTGCACACTGTAGCTTTTTGGATGTAAAAAGAGGGAAGATGCGGGGGCTCTGCAGGAAAACACAAACCAGGGCTGCCCAATCCATCGCATTAGCTGTAGCTAGAATAATAGGGTGTAAAGTGGTTTTTATTGTAAATATTTAATCTCATTCCTGCACTTCCCATTAGAGCCGGCACAAAGAGGACATGTCCCATTCATCCAGTAGTAGTAGCTGTGTATGTTGTGCCTGAGCACCATGCTGCTGCTTCTGCCATGAAGCCCCGCTCTGGGGTCCCCGCAGGATGCGCTCTGCAGCCGCAGTCTGACTGAGAGATCGGACTGAAGCAGGGGAGGGGGCTTTGGGGAATAAACATTTGGAAAATGGACATTTCTGAATGTGTCTAATTTGTGTTACAAAGTCCCCTATTCCTGATGATGCTGTTCACATTGCAGAGGGGGCATTTGCAAAGTGACACAGGCCCCATGGTGGCTGGCTGGCCAGACTGGCAGTGTCACCTCCTGCAGCCTAGCTTTGCCAGGGAAAGTGCCAGGACAGCAGCTCTGTGGGTCCAGCCAGGAGGTGGTACCTGGGGCTAAGCCTGGGTGCTGAGGGCACCTTTTTAGGTGGCTTTTGAGTACCGCCTGCCTCACTGAGACACGGGGTATTTCTCTCCCATGTAAAATGAAGTGAGTCCTGTTGCTTGTGCACTGAGAACAGAGCTGGGCCCAAGTCCTTGCTCCACTGCAATGTGTGTATAAGCTTCTTTCGGCTTCAGCTCTGCTCCCCACTGTCACGCGTCCTGCATGGAAGCAGTGGGGGAAACCACCGGCCTGGTCCCTCCAGTGCATCCTGGGCCTGGCGGCACGGTGTGCTCTGTGTGAAGAACCAGCAGCAGCTTGACCTGCGAGGGCAGAAATGTGGCGCGAGGACAGAGTCCCTTTGGAAAGGCTCTGGGGAGCTCCCCTGTCCCCTGTCATCGTCCTGCTTCAATGCCAGGCTACAAATGACCTCGCTCTGGCCAGTCCCCCTTGCATGTCCCTGCTGGGGCACTGCAGTGGGGCGTGCGATGCCGTTAGCTGTCAGAGGGCTGCGCAGCAAGCACAACGCTACTTGGGGCAGAAATGTGGCTCCCAAATGTGACAGGTCAAATCTGGAAGAGGTTGAACTGCAGGGCTGTGTTAAGTGCTGTTGGCAGGTCGACCCCGTAGTGAACCAGAGCCTCTGCCCCTCCTGACCTTGTCCTGAAAGGTGAATCTTTCCGGCTATCAGAGGTGAAATCAGTAGGTGGTGGCTGCAAGTGGCAATGACTAACTTTAATTAGCAGGAGCTGCTGGCGTGGCTGTGACCCACGGGCGACGCAGGCTCCCACCGCGGGCAGGGCTGCGGGCAGGGCTGGGCCTGC